AAAATGCTATTGATATACTTGAACTATTGTGTTCCAAAGATTACAACATGGAAAAAGTTTACTGTAATATTGTGGGAAGACACAGAAAATAACTAGAAGACAATGGATTTCACTGATTTAGTAAGCTGTTTAATAACCCCAGGACTTCTTAACATTTGTGAATATGAACTAAATAGGCCAAATCGGATATGCAGCTCCCTTATGTTAGGCTATGAAACATTCTACCCTACCCACCCTATTATAATGATAAGGAAGCTTCTAGATGGGACTTTTCTCACAAAAACATGTTCCTGTAGGCCACTACTTTATTTTTAATGAAAAAAGAATAACCATCCCAAATTTCTATTATAAAATAAATAATTATAAATAATGAAATAATAATTTGTTATCAACAAACAATAGCAAATTTAAAGCGTGAAAATAAACAATTTCATCGTTCAAGTATAAAACTTTTGATTCAAAATAATAAATGGTTGTAAATAGAGTGTCTGCAATATTTATTAAAGCGTTTGCTAGGTTGTGGATGAATCAGGGTTTTTCACTAATTATTATTTATAAAAAAAAATCTTTGTTAATAGTTTAGTTTTAATATCAAGCTTTTTAAATTTAAAATACTGCGATAAACAAATATTCCATGGAAACATATAAAATATGGAAAGATGAAAGGGAATATTATCAGTCTGAATTTGAGTATTTCTCTGTGAGTAAAATGCCCAAGAGACAACACACATGAAAATCCCAATGCAAACGCAATGATTTGCAAGAATAAGTGAGTTAGCATTCAGCAGGTATTTTTGTATTCACAAGAGCAGCTTTTGACTCACAAATGACCATTTCATACTTTCCCTTAACATCAACTGGACCTTCATTTTAAATATGCTACCTTCGCACAGAAAGTTTTTATTCATATGTAAAGGCATTTAAACATATGTTGCTTAATAAGCAAATTGTTTGTGCAAATTTAAACATTCTTCAAGTAAATCAAATCAAATAAATATACACCCTAAAATGTTTTCGATGATTCAAAAATTTACTTCTAAAACCATTGTTTATACTCTTGGTATGTTATTTAATGTCTAAGTATTATCATAGATAAAACATACTCCCTTAGGTATTATATATAGTTAACAATGCTTTTAGCCATCTATTAAGTTCGTTAAACAATTCTTAGAATCAGGGTGAATTATTCAATTTTGAAGTTCTCATGCAGTACACAAACTACACCAAATATGACAATTTTTGGGTGTTGGTTGACGAGGTAATGATATAAAATAAACATATTTTGAATGGCTGATATTTGTTAAAAGTGTCAGTTTTACGCAAAAAGTATAGCTTTATATCAGGTAACACGTTGAGAGTGGCATTAGAACTTTCAGGTAGAAAACACTATTATGTGATTTCGCACAGCCATTGCATATATTAAATTAAACTATTAATATATAGATACATATGTTTTAAGTATAAAACATAATGTTTTAAGTATAAAACATACTTAAACTCATGATGAACAACTGAACATGTCCATACGAAAACAACTAGTAGGTATACCTTTGTGATATTGGATCATATGTCTAATATTCTATTCTATATTGTCTTGTTAAAAGCATATGGTTTATGTTTTTGTTATGATGTTTTTGTTTTAGTGTTGAGATGGCAATAAGATAAAAATGTTCTTTCTTTTACTAGTTTGTTTTATTCTTTTGTGAATATACTACACTGGCGACGAGGATGTCTAGAAAGAAGCAGAAGAGTGATAGGGAAGTTGATGAAGAGTCTCACAGTGAGTTGGAGAGGAAAATGGAGAAGTTTGTCTTTGAGAAATACAAATGTGAAGAAACAGCAGAAGAGTACATTGAACATTTTCAACGTGTTTGTCGGGTGAAAGGGTTGGGGGGTTCAGATGAGCGTAGTAAGGAGGCGAGAAAAGACTTACTACTGGCTTATGTGGGAAGTGAACCATTCCAGAAGATGCAAAATTATTTCATCCCGAAGAACCTTGATTCTTGTTCATATGAAGAAATTAAGACTGCATTTTTCACACTGTATGGTCCAAACCAAACGATTTTCGCTTCCCGTTTTGAGTTTGAAAGAGCCGTTAGGAATGAAAGTGAGTCCTTCACAGAATATTTCACCCGGTTAAAGAAATTAAGCAAACACTGTCGGTATGGCCAAGGCTTGGATGAACGGATCCGGGATCGTTTCATCGCAGGGGTGTTCAATGAACAATTTGAAGTGGAAGTAAGGCATCGTTGGCCGGATGGTGTAGAGACCGGTGGCAGTGTTGTCACGGCAGAGAGAGTGTTCCAGCTGGCCAGGTCGATGGAGCGTGCCAGAAACGAGGTGAATGCCAGTACTACATCGAACGTATGTTTTGTCAAGAAGCGGCAAACAACTGGTCAAGTGAATGGATGTGAGAACTGTGGCAGATATAAATGTGTCAAGGAGAAATGTCCAGCAAAAGGCCAAGAGTGTCTCAAATGCCGGAAGATAGGACATTTTGCTAGGGTGTGCAAAAGGAAGTTTGTCAGTAAAATTGACACGAAGTATTCCGATGGTGAGCACAGTTCAGATGGGGTCGAATCTGATCTTCATGCTCTTAAGAAGATTTCAAACAGAACTCCACGTGCCTCAATAAGAGTGAATGTGAATGGACTGCCCTGCCTTATGGAATTCGATTCTGGTGCTAGAATTTCTACAATTGGGCAGACATTATGGAAGAAACTCGGTAAGCCCCAGGTTAAACCTCTCTCCGGGTTGACAGGCTATGGTCAAACACCGTTAGCATGTTTAGGCAAATGCTATGTGTCAGTGTGTTTGAATGGGGAAACTAGGAAATTACCAGTGGCAGTAATGGAAAAAGATGACATTCCATTGTTTGGACTTCCGTGGATGGTATCATTTGGAATGAAACTTCCACCTGAAGTAAGTGTAAAATCAAACAATGTAACAAATGATAATGTGAATATTACGGAAGAGGAAGTCCAATCATTGGTGAAGGAATTTGATAGTGTTTTCTCTGATGGATTGGGCAAAATTGAAGGAGTAAAGGCTAGAATACATGTAAAGAACGATTTTCCACCAATTGCACTGAAAGCCAGAAGAGTACCCTTTCCTTTGAAAAACTCCGTAGAGAATGAGTTGAACCGACTAGTTGAGTGCGGAGTCTTAGAGAAGGTTGATCCAAGTGAAACAGCAATAGTCTGGTCAACGCCTACTGTAAATGTCAACAAAGGAGGAGGTAGGGTTAGGATTTGTGGAGACTTCAGGGTTACCGTGAACAAGGCGATTGTGCCTGAAGTTTATCACATGCCTACTTTTGCTGATTTGACAAACAAAATTGCTGGAGGTCGATTATTTACTGTAATTGATTTGAAAGATGCGTACTTACAGTTAGAGGTTGCAGAGGAAGATCGAAACTACTTAATAATAGCTACTCATATGGGGTATTTCCGCTACAAACGCCTTGCATTTGGCTTAACTGATGCTCCAGCCAAATTTCAGCGTTTCATGGAAAATCTCCTCAGTGATATCCCTTTGGTTGGGGTGAACATAGACGATATCATAGTCAGTGGAAGAACCAAAGAAGAGCACCTGGGCAATGTCAGAACAGTGTTGAAACGTCTCGAAGCTGCGGGGATAAAGGCGAAGAAAGAAAAATGTCAGTTAGGTCGAAACAGTGTCTACTATTTGGGGCATAAAATTGATCAAGATGGAATACATCCTAGGGAAGATAAAGTAAAGGCATTAAAGGAAGCCAAGACTCCAACAAACAAGAAAGAGCTTCGAGCGTTTTTGGGAGCCATCAACTATTATGAGAAGTTCATTCCTCATCTTCATGGTCTTTGTTCAAGATTACACCGATTAACAAGTTCTAAGACTTCTTGGGTGTGGAATCACCAAGAACAAGAGGAGTTTGACAGAGCACGCAATCTGATTGCAGAAGATGCAACGGTTGTTCCTTACCGAGATGATTTGCCCATAACAGTATCCTGTGATGCCTCGGAGGTTGGTGTAGCAGCAATTATCCTACAAACTGATCACGATGGTGTAGAAAGACCAGTTGCATTTGCTTCGCGTACTTTGCAGGAATCAGAAAAGCGATATTCATCAATTGACAGGGAAGCACTTGCTTGCGTGTTTGGAGTGGTCAAATTCCACCAGTATCTTTATGGCAGACATTTTACCTTAACTAGTGACCACAAGCCTTTAGAGAGAATATTTGGTAAACATCGGGATTTGACCAAGACGATGAATAACAGGTTGGTTCGATGGGCTATTTTCTTAAACAACTACGACTTTGATATAAAGTATATAGAAGGTAGGAACAATGTGTTGGCGGATGCACTCTCTAGACTGCCCAGCGAGAGTGACCTCCCATCAAGAGAAGAGTTGTCTGCAAAACTAATGGTTCAGGAAAAGATAGACGATATGGCTCTGACATCAAAGGAACTGCAAGAAGAGACTAGAAAAGATGAGACTTGCAAGCGGGTAATGATGTTTATGGAATCACAATGGCCACAAAAGTTGCCTAATGATCTTTCATATTTGTCTCCATTTTTTCACAGACGGGAAGAACTCTCTTCTGTGAAAGGAATTCTGATGTGGGGAAATAGAATAGTGGTTCCACAGACCCTTCAAAAGAAAACACTACGTGTTTTACATCAAGGACATCCTGGAATTGAAGCTATGCGGAGTTTGTCACGGTTCTATGTGTGGTGGAGCAAGATTGACGAAGACATAGAAACGTATGTGAAGACTTGTAATGGGTGTCAGATGAACCGTCCAAGGGAGCCGGAGGTACCTCTGTACTCGTGGAATGTACCATATGGTCCATGGGAACGGTTACACTTGGATTATGCTGGACCATTTGATGGGTGGTATTGGTTAGTTGGTGTAGATGCATTTTCTAAATGGCCAGAGATTTCAATGGTTAGATCTATTACGGCTGCCAGTACAGTGAACAAGTTACGGGAATGGTTTCTCGCTATGGAGTTCCTAGAATGATAGTCACGGACAATGGGACACAGTTTACGTCAGAGCTATTTGAGAAGTTTTGCAAGGATAACGCGATAAAACATGTCTGCAGTACACCATATCATCCGAAGACGAATGGCCAAGTTGAACGGTTCATCAAAACATTCAAGTCAAGATATTTGTCCAGCAAAGGTGACAGGCAAGATCAAACACAAAAGTTGGCGAAGCTATTGTTTGCCTACAGAAACACACCACAAAAATCTACGAGCAAACCTCCATCTGAACTGTTCTTCGGCAAAAGACTTCGATCTCCATTGGACAATTTGAAGCCTACGGTGAAAGACGTGATAGCAGAATCAGTTTTTAAACAAAAGGAGTATCACGATGGCAAAAGTAGACGTAGAGAATTTTCTGAGGGGGAAGAAGTCTGGGTGCAGAGAGAAATAGGTGCCGGCTGGAATCCAGGAGTGATTGCATCAAGAACTGGTGAGCTATCATACCAAGTCAGGGTTGGTGGACTTCTGAAGCGAAAACACGCAGACCAGCTACGTAAGAGAAGCGGAGCTTTATCTGAAGGGGGAGAAGTGTGATATTGGATCATATGTCTAATATTCTATTCTATATTGTCTTGTTAAAAGCATATGGTTTATGTTTTTGTTATGATGTTTTTGTTTTAGTGTTGAGATGGCAATAAGATAAAAATGTTCTTTCTTTTACTAGTTTGTTTTATTCTTTTGTGAATATACTAGAACCTTTATTTCTAGCTAAGATTTTATTTAATTATCATTAACAGTTAAATATTGGATAACATAATGAGTTAACCTACACAACGTGTTAGTGAATAACATATTTAGTCACTACGTACATAATCACACACTACGAAGTGCTTGAATGATCACTTGATTATACAAACAGATGCAAGCTCCAACCAACAACAACATTCAGTGCTGATTTAGTCCATAGCAGAACTAACTCACGTAGACTAAACATTGCAATAAATATTTTTATGAGAATAAATAATAAATATTGTACTATAAATACAAATATTATTACAGTCAAAGCAAACTATTTGAACATACCTAACAATATTTTTCTTCTTACTATCCGATATAGTTCATTACTCTTTTAGTTTAAGTTTTATAGTTGATATTAGAAACAGAATATGTACATAAAACCGCTAAAGTTCTTATATTCGTGTAACATATAATTGCCTATATTATATTTTATTTTAAAAAGTTAACTGATGTATTTGCACGAATACTAGAAAAATAACGGTATGGATCAAAAACATCAACAAAATTAAGTTTTTTGCCCCGAATCCATTACTAAATATCATTCACATATGGTTTGGACAGTTCCATTATTTAAATAATGTTAAATAATGTTTATTTCTTGCCAAAAACGTCATTTGTTTATGTTTATGATCCATACCGGTACTTTACTAGCGAATTTGGTACTGTCTGATAACGTATTGGTGGCAAAGCTGTAACAAACTGAACAGACCGTATATTAGCTCAAACTCGTACACGGTTCTAAGTTCACATTCACGGTTCTCTATCGAAATAGAGTTGAGTTACATAATGAATTAATTATGCCTGAGTCTCTTAGCCTTTTTGTTGATAACATTGTTATATCCAGGCTGTCACTGTACATGCTAACAGTGCACAGCCAATATGTCCTAAGCAGTTTGCTACTCCTAAAAGATAACCTCCACCTTTTTGATATGAGGGAAGGCCAGCATAGCCATAACACTCGAAAGGCCCAGGACCTTGATCTGCCGCGGTGTAGGCTTAGCCACTCCATCAAAAGCTACCCTCGCTCAGCAATTAAGATCTTTAACACGCTGCCAAAAAGAGTGAGAGAGTTAGACAGGAATAAATTCAGGGCAGTACTGCAGGGCCATCTGGTTAATAGACCCCTCTACTCTTTAGAGGAATTAAGGGAAGTGCCACTAAAAGTTAGCTGAAAACAGCACTACAGTAGGAAATCAGTTAGGAAATCAAATCGCCACAGCTCAATTAATAAATAGTTTGTTTAGTAAGAAGTTTGTAAATATTAGTTTTAAATAATATGTAAATAAATAGTATGTTAATGTGTCTCTGACGCAATCTATCCGACATTGTCGGTCAAGGATTAAGGACACAAGTATCAAGTAAGTATCAAGTAAGTAAGTACATCTGCTGCGATCGTAAGCAGGAAATTTGCCTCGTATTGCTTTGTACGACTCCTGGGGAGATATCGGTAGTGGAGGTATAGCTGACGTGCCATAGTAAAGCATAGGTAAGCGTTTTTCTCAAGGCCTACCCTGAAGTAATATGAAAAAGAATCCCAGCCTAGAGCCTGGAATAAATAAAAGTGAATATCCAATTGACCACATTACATGTATAAATAACGAAAATATGTAAAACGGTGTAATACATCACGGAGTATCGTTTTTATCTATTTTCCAAGAAGTTATGGAATGCAAAGGCAAATATGCTGTAATAGGAAACATCCCTTTACCTGGGGTTAAAATTTTTTGATTTTTTTATATTGAAATTTATTATCTATTGAGTCCTTAGGTTTTCTGCAACAGGAAACTTATTTTCAATCGTACATGGATTACGTGTATAGTAAAAGAACGCTATTTTGTATTGTTTGGTTTGAATACTTGTGTGTGCCAAAGTAAGGCGTACTTTACTATAATCTTTTGCAAGGAAGCCCATCTTTGTCGGGTGACAGTAGGGAAAAAAAATTTCTAAATTAATTTTCAGACATAGACCAAATAAATTATACTGATATATAAATTATCCTATTTTCAATATCCTTACTGGATTTGGCTACAACATAGTAAATGTAAAAAAGCCATTTAGGAAAATAAGTAATTACAAAACGACCTGCGCTGATTCATTTTCAGCGTTTGGCAACACTCACTACAGCCTCTGGCAGAGTTTCAATTCTCTTGCATTATTTATAACAGGCTCTCTGCATTGTTAATGGCCGTTAAGATATATGAACCACAAAACACGTTTAGCCTTTCACTAAGTACACTAATACATACAGAGTTATAGGAACTTTTTTTTATTAAATAAGCTGTAAACTTGTATACAAAAAATGTTTCTCAGTATTAAAATTTTAATTTTTGCATTGCTAGATACAATTTTATTATTTATTTTAAAATAATCAGTTTTTTCCTGACACGCATAGGAAAATTCTCCCAAATGAACAAACACTATGAATATTAAGAATAAAATTTTGCCTCATAGTATAGTGATAAAAAATTAAGAAAAACATCTACGACCTTAGCATCAAAAAACATAAATGTGAAAATTATGTTTGTTGCGCAAAAATGAGGTTTAATTGCAACAAAATATCAACTTTCAATCAGGTTAATTACACATGCTATGATTGCCTGTTTATTGTAGAGCTCGACACAATTTACTCCTTAATTGCTAATTCAATTGGTCTGTGTAAATATTGCAATACCTATCGAACCAAGTAGTTCTGTTAATTGCGAATTGTTGTAGGTAATATAACACAACATACAACATAATGATTTTATAATTGAAATGTGTAAGAGTGCTATATCATTATAATTTTTTTTTAATTAAAAATATGAAATCAGTTATAATTTACCGCATATTTTGGTAGTCATACTAAATAAGCATTTGTCACATAATAATTTGTATAAATTACCCCGTCAAATACTTTTACTTTACCGTCATCTATAATTATGTATGAAAATAGATTTTTGATCCTAAAATCACGCACTTAGGGAAAACCTGTAATTTTATTAAAAATAATACATTTATCATTATTGGCTTTAATATCAAACAAACTATATTTATCCACTCACCATAGGAAGTTCCACTACAAGAACACTGACGCCATACGTCCAATCACGACGGCTGTTGCGAATTGAACTGAAACCCGGACCCGAATTCAATACACTTCGGTTTGAGGTCCGAACACAACTGACGACGTAGAGACCCGACACCCAACTGTGTAGGCGAGAGGGGAGTGCTCAGTGGGGGGGGGGGGCTCTCACTCTCTCTCCCCCTTTCCACATCCCATCATCCCCCATCAACTACCCACCTCACCACAACAGCTGCAAGATGTGAGATGTGGTGATTCCACTCTGCCAAAACCATGATCATCCTCTCTGAGTTGGTTTACTTTAATCTCCTTAACTGTGCTTTTAAACTCGTATGCGGGCTTTTTTGGAATTAAATGTAAAATAAGTAAAATATTTTGTGCGAGTTGTCTATGTGCATAAATTTAATTTAAACTCTAACTGGGGATCCCGTATTTTTTAGTTTTACGTTAGATTTGGGTAAGGATATTTAGTATATAAAGGAATATTTAAACGTGGTTTTTTCACCATCCATAAAAAAATCGGAATAATCTACTTTCGATAAATGGTTCTCTTTTATAAGAAAAACAGTAAATAAATGCCATAAATACTATTACTTATGAGATTTTCTTCAAAAATTACAATTAAAATCGAAGTTTAGGGAACGTTGGAAAGTTAGAGACTTTTTTTTAACACACAGTTAGGTCATAGAAAACAACTAACCCGCTTGCCAACTTCTAACACATCACTTTAAGTATTATTTGCGAATTTGTTAAGAAGTTCAGCCAACATTGTAGGAACGGTTCTGTTTAAAAATATAATTTATCATTTTTTATACCATGTAAAATTATTGTTATGCTGTTACAATATTGACATCAAAACACGTAATTCTAAGACACTATGTTTTTTGGATGCTCTATAAAAAACTGTTGTACTATATAGACACTCGATTTCGCAACAGAATAAGTAATAACGGCATTGCGTTGTTCATCAAAACTGGATTCACCATTTAATAGCACTAAAACTATATTATCATATAATATATAATATAATACAATATATAATATAATACAATGTATAATATAATACAATTATATAATATCAATCTAATATAATGGTAAGTGTTATTGTCATAGATTCAAACCTTTGAATTGTGGATTACCATGTTTTAATCAAGTAAATGTATCTGAAAACTAACACTTCATATTGAAAGGAGAATATAGTTTACAGATGAAAGCTCTCACATTTTGTTGTTTCCTAGAATAACTCGTTACAGATTCCTATCTTACTCCTCTTTGAACTTTACGCAACTGCAAAGTAGATATTTATGGATAGTAACCAGTATATATTAAGAAAGCTGTGTTTGTTTTACACAAATAATTAACAACGTAGCGTATCAATTTTTAATTTAAAAAAACACCTATATAACTATTTATTATTACGTAGCTATAAATAACTTACGATTTATCTATTGTTTTCGTCATATTACAATAATTTTAAACAGGTAAGATAATAGTGTATTATATTGTTGTAATATACCAGAAAATTAAAATCGGTTCATGATCATTCATATTCATGTACAGTATATTGTGTAAAAAACAAATTAAGGATAATTTTATTGATTAATTGATTGATTGATATATTTTTCCAAACGATTTTCTACCATGAGCTTTTCAATTGGCATTCACCTAGCAACTTAAATAAAAGTGTGTATTACACAGGATACTCTTACCCTTAACCTAAGCTGTGAACTCAGTATACTGTCTTTTTAGTAAATTCCTTTTGCAAATGTTACAAGCTTTAACTTGAATCACATATATATAATAATGAATAAATGAGAAATCATTTTGACAACAAATTGCAGCTAACGTTTATAATTTATCTTGTCGAAGAATATTCCTCTATACAATTTAGAAGCTGTAAATGTAATCAATATTAAATTGACCAAACAACAAAGTCTCGTCCATGGTTTACACCACTCTGGCGCCAGCTACGAGACCCGGTCTGTGAACGATAACTACAATTTAATTAACAGCCTGTTAACTTGATTGAACGCGCACTAGAGTCTAACTACACTCGGAACTCTATTGGCTTCGTTCTCCAATTGTGTACATGCCACTATTCCAATTACAGTTTGCACATAACGCCCCAACTTCTAGGACGACGATCAGTCTGGTAATTTGTAGTGTTCCGGTGGTAAAAGTTATTGTTACAATGACCAAGATTAATATTCAAGGTTTTATCTGCTATGTAAAATCATTAGTGTATTTTATTGCTTTCGATTGAAATATTGTTTGATTTGAATGTTATCGTCTCAGTTTGAAGTGGCACTGTTCAAATAAATGTATTCGTTTATTGGTATCATAATAGTTAGTTGAATAGTAATTCGAATTAAATAATATATAGTTAATTAAATATTGGGACTTTAAAGTACCTAAATTGCGTCTTCACCTCATTAATTGATTATAAGATTTCTCAAATGTATTAGGAATATGTATAAGGAATGTTTTTAACAAATTTCAAGCTAACCTGGATGGTAATTTATTATTTTGTAAAAATACTTTCGTTTCATAAAATTACTTTTGTTTTTGGAAAACATATTATGTGGATAAGTAAATTTTAGTATTAAAATAAATTTGGTTCAGCAAGATCTGTGAAATCGATCATATAAAAAGACAGAAGCTGCTAAAAAGTCTAAGCCTTAAAGGGGAAACAACAAAAAGATTAAAAAAACATCTCACAAAAACTAAAAACTCTCAATGCAATTCATTTATTTTATATCAAGCGAATAGCTTAAACTAAAACATGACCTAAGCACTCTCACTAAAACCAGTTTCAAAAGCTTTTGTTTAAAAGAGAAACCCATCAATCAATCCAATTGACTGGGCAAAGCTGCAATTAGAAATTTCTCACCATAAGCTATCTGTTATGTTTTATATTTTTTTATTAATTTATTATTTCTGTTTTTAATAAACCACATACAGTCATGTTAAGCGTAGAATTAAAACCATGTTATAACAAAAACAAAATATATTTATATGCATAATCACTTTTGTGTACTGATACTTGTATAATTAATTTAAATTTTGGTGTAGTTTACAAAAAAAAAAACATGACATGACCTCATAATAAACACTTATGTAATAGTATAGTATATATAGTATAGTAATATTATAGTGATATTTGTCATAAAAAAATCTTCTGCCGTATATGACTTGGGTCAATATATCTCTTGATCCTTAATTTATTCACTATCAAAATTATTTACAAAAGGCCATGTAATAATTAACATATAAAAAGTAAATATAACAAGCTCAAAAATATTGAGATGACATTCCTATGCATTTTCATAAATTTTAAGGTTGTGTTAGAATTTGGATTTAAATGTTACGTTTCAAAAGTTTCAGTGTCTTTATTAAATTGCAGGAAATAAAATATCATTAAATTTTGTTTTCTAATTTTAATGAGCATATAGGCTATTATGTTATATGATGAGTTTATCATGTTATGTTGTTATGTTTAAGTTTGCTTAACTAGTTTAAACCCATATATGGTTTTAAATTAGTTTCGAAACATAATTAACAATAAAATATATATTAATTTAATCAATTTACTAGTTTTATACATTGAATACATGTAATTCTTGTGTCTCTTAATAATTGCTTGGGAAATCTATCACTAAAGAGAAAGTTGGCAGTGCATGCAAATTTCCTTACTTCACATTTTGGCAAAGTCTCATATTTCTTTCTTAGTTATAAACTAAAATCGTGTCACACTGTGTACATTGTCAAAATATAGAGACTTGGTCTGTTCTCTGGTACACATACATTTAAAATTAACATTAAATGTTTCAACATATCTTATTCTTAAAAAAATCAATATCGTTACGCGTTTTGTACGGGTAAATGTTGTTGTTAGTTCATAGTCTAACAAATTTACTGAACTCGCTTCAGCTTAACTGTGTATATAAGTTAGTAGATAAATTACTTGTACTCCTAACTGTGTACTTAGTTTGGTAGAAGAAATATCATTTATATTGTTTTTTTTTTCTAAATCCTTAAAACGAATCGTAAACATGTCAAAAGAATTAAAATAAGAAAATCCTACATCAACAAAAATTTTAATATTCTCTATTTTTAAGATGACGTTGCTTTCAAGTTTTTCTTATAAAAGGTAAGACTCTACCAAATCTGTGCAATGCGAAGGGTCATATTTTGTATTCATGCTACAGCCTGAGTTTCGCCAAATGTTTTTGATGTGGATTCAAGTAGCCACATTACTGTGAGGGATGGGCTCTACATTTCCCTACTTTTCTTCACATTCTTTTTACTGTTCTTTTTATGTGGCAATACTGTGCGTCATTGTCCCTTATACTTGTCCTTTCTGTAGTAGTTTGTTCGAATGCTATTTCGTTTTTATCTTTTTAGTATATTATTGTGAGCTTTACATCAAATTAGTAGGATTTACCACTGATGTCTTAAATAATGCATGCTAAAAAGGGCTTGGGTGCAAGATGTAAGTACCTAATGATTTAATGTATTATAATTTAGCTAAAGAATGTACACAAAAATATGAATGATTTACATAATTTACATAATCTTCAAATTTGGGCTGTTAAAGCTGTTTGAATTCAACTATCATCGGGTAATCAACCATACCGATTTTATGATTTGTATACTGATATGAGGAAAATTTCAAAATAAAGATGGATAGGCCTAATACTCTACAAGTTAGTACATTGATATTACGTAGAAATTGTCGGAATTAGTCGCTTAGGCTGGGACATAAAAAATGCTAAACGAAGAGTAATTCCAAGTCACCTCTAATTAAAATAATTACTAGTGAAGTACAAATTTACGTTTAAAATAAGCACAGTAATTAATTATTGTTATTCAGTTGGGCTTGGAAAATAACTAGTATTGTGTACAAAAAAATAATGCAACGACTTATAATAAACATAAAATAAACCTTATTTTATTATGCAATTTTACTCGGTAATTAATACTATCAGTTACAAAGTTTTTTAATATTGCTAACATTTGATAATTAAGGCGTGAGGGTGAAAATTTAGTGAAGCGAATGTTTAAAATGATATAGATCGATAGAGTGCAATTAAGAATGAAGTTACTTAACCAA